GAACCTTACCAATCAATTTCTCCTTGCTCTTTCATTCCACTCCATTTACCTTCCTCCAACCCCCGCTCCCCCCTCGATGTCCTACTCTATATTTTATCCTCGATTTTTTTCCTTTTCCCCTCCCCCTTTCTCTTTGTTTTCGGCTCCGGTCTATTAAATCTTCTTGTACATTAATTTTTTTTCCCCCCCTTTCCTTTCCTTTATTTTCCTTCTTCATCTTCGTCGTTTTACAGATGGGCTCTTGAATAAATTTCCAACTAAAATTACTTATTAAAACCCTCCATTTACTCTACATGATATTATGTATTTTCAACTCGACATTTCATCCTCGTCTCAAAGTTTACTTTGAGAGTCGCCGGGACGATTTCATCTGATTTTTCGTTATCGCAAAGTAATGACAATCATAAATGTCTATAACAGTTTCCCCCATACATCACAATTATCGAGTTAACTTTCTCACAGCTTAGAGGAAAAAAAAAAAAAGTTCTCGTTGCTAATCGCTAAGCGGAATCGACGCTTGGTATTTGAGCGATAACATCGCGTTAACTTTTCTCACGCTGGAAATGAAAATAATGTAAAAAAAAAAAATAATAATAAAGAAAATTTAATGGTAAATCGAGTAGTTTCACTAAACGGGTATGGAAAAGATCGAATCCCCAAACAGAGTAGAGTAGGAAAAAAAAGGGTCGGACGATAAGTTCCCTCGGAGGTCCTTTATTTCCCTAGGCATTTGTGCCAGAGTGTTATTCAGCGCACCTACATCATACACTCGCAAGTTGGTAAATGCACAAGCGAGCGGGTAACTCGTTTACGTGCGCGTATGACGAGCCATGTTGCCCAACCGGATTCCTCACTGCCAAGGTCACATTTTATTCTTGGGTTGAGAGCCACTAGAGCCATTATACTACTGTGCCTCATACAAAATACTCGCTCGACATAACTTGTACACGTTGGTTTGCCTTTATTTTACTCTTCTGTTCTGCCTACTCTGTTTGGTAAAGAAGATCGAGGGAAAGTCGATGTACTGTTATAGGTAGCAAAGTTGTGCAAATCGTTTATGAATTTTTTTTTAAGCTTTAAATTAATAAAGTTTATCATTGTGATTAAAAAAAATATATCAACTCAGAAATAATTAACAGAAAAAACTTGCGAATTCTCATGAAACGAAAAAATCGTTGTTCTGAACTGAATGTGCCCTTCCAACTTCACAGACACTTGAAGTTCTCAAAAACTTCTTATACTTCGGTGTATATTATCATCACTCGTATTTTGCAAACAGTATACACTTGAAGCAAAAGCTTGCATTAGCATTGAAGCTACAACGTTGAATGTTAATACAGGAATGAAATCAGGGGTTGTAAAAAAAAAAAAAAAAAAAAGGAAAAAGTAATAATTGTAACTTTTCGCTAATAATGCAAACAACCGCACTCTTCGTGTACAACCTACTCTCGAGTGCGTGCCCGAGGCCTTCGGCTGCATTACCGCAGTCGCCATCGCCCAAACACGACTTTATATGAGTAAATTTATGATTCTCCATTAACTCGAAATTACTAACACTGTAAGTGTACCTTTCTTGAAATAAGCAGTTTAAATAATAAAACATAATAATGGCAATTGGACTCTCAGCTGCGGCTTACCGAGCCATGGGGTAATTGCTCTCGAGATTTCTTTTTTTTTTTTTTTTTTTTTTATTTCCCTTCCTCTCCTGCTGTTACTACGATAGGGGGATAATTAGCAATATTATAAACAACAGCGGTGATGAGTACACAGTCTTTGCTTTGAGCCAAAGTGGAGTCAATTTGCGTCCGACACTTTCTTTCCTTGGCACCGTGGAAAAGAATCAATCTCGGCTGCTCCGAAAACTGTAATTTAAGAATACCTCGTCCTGCTCCCTCATACTCTTTTTTCTCCACGTCCAAACATTGAATAACCGCCCGAGACTATTAATACGCGCATTCAAGTGATAGATAGTCACGGGGAGGGGAAAAAAAAAAATCGTTAGAAATCCGAACATTGAGCAACTCAGTATTAATAGTTGAAGAAAAAAAAAAAGAAAAAGCTTATTATTAATAACCTTCCGCCGTCATCAGTCACGCGCGCGCAATGTTACGCATTTCACGAGTTCTGTAACAAAATCGTAAAATATGTACGTGTATATGTAGTCGTTTTTTTTTTTTGTTTTTTTTCAGCCGATCTTGTTGTAAATGTATGCCCCGAAACTCGTTTCTCGGAATCCAACCGCTACTCCCACGCTCGAGTGCATTTGTACACGCCATAATCCTATCCCAAAACGAAGGGGGAGAAGAAAAAAAAGAATTCCAGTCCCTCTCGCGTAAACAGGTGTTTGTGCAGTTTTCTCTTTTGGCGAGGAAGGAAACAAAAGAAAAAAAAACAGTCCGAGAGGGAATTCTCGATGCACGCGTTGCCTAAGTGCATGTAACAGCATCGTTAAGTTGAAAATAAAATCGTGAGGGCGGAGAAGAAGAAGAAGAAAAAAACACTCGAGGCCTTGCTCATCTCTCTCGAGGGAAGGAAAGGGGTAGACCAGCAGTTTCCGGTGCAGATACATTGCTCCTAAATTACCGATACGCGCGCAACACGCGTTCCGTAAAACGTAACTTTTACTTTTCTTTCTTTTAGAAAGTTTTTGCACTGGAGTGTACATACGTGAGTTAATGAAAATGTCGAGTTTGTGGGGGAAGGGACTTTAATCCAGTCGTTAAACGGGGCGTTAAAATCACGTATCGCTCGTTCAATCTCTACTTTTCAACGCTTATGAAATCGTGAATCTCGATGGGTGTTGCAGACACACGAGAAGCCGTATTAGCATTCGGCGGGCGTTTTTCTGATTGAAATACTCCCGAGAAAGCCTCGGGACAGGTGGTTTAATGAAATACTAATTTGGCACGTACCACCGGGCACTGGTGCTTTTACTTCATTAACGCTCTGGTGTTGATGGTTCCTTTTTTTTTTTTTTTTTTTTTTTTTTTTTCTTTTCAATGCCCTGCTCTTTAATTTGCGTAACGAAAAATGTTTCTTGGATTGCGGAGGGCGAGCAAATTGTGCCCGCGTGAAATCACTTTCGTGCGTCATCCATCCCATCCGCCCACGCGCAATAACCGATGAATATTTACCAACCACCGCGTGCGATATGCATTCCATGCGCGAGACTTCACACGCGGAATGCAAACACCAGCCAGCCCTGGCTTTGCATTTCGCGGCGATGAACCAAAGTCCCTCTCGAGTTTCGCGTAAGTATAAGGCGACCGATACACGAGTGCTGCCGATAAAAATCGCATAAATATTAAGGCGACAATTGGATAATCAGACGCGCGTCGCGAGTTGAAAGGCGGCAGGTCTCGCGGATGGTGGGGTGGTGGCAAGGGATTCGCGAAATTCCAAATTGGAATAACCGAGTTTTCCTCGGGAGAATCAAGGGGCGACGGAGAGTTTACCGAAAGTTACTCGCGATGCGCACTACCTTGTCGCGCTAACTTTCCGAATACATCAGCCCCCTTTTTTTTTTTTTTTTTTGTTCGCCTCCACCGCCACCCCCGGCTGGAGTTTTGAATTAATACAACAAAGTGTTATAGAATCATTTCGCGCACAATGGGGCACGACGATTTTTCTTCGTTTTTCCGAAATGGAGCTTCGCTCGTGCTTTATCGCGATCGACATAACTCCACACACATGCGCAAACAATATTATGTTCGACACGAAGTTCGAGCTGAAATTAAATTGCCTTTACGTAACGCGTCTGTATTACTCGTGACATCGTCGTCGCGAAGGTAATCGTTGCGAATTTCATTTCTCATCCAGATGTAATTCAACTTAATGCTACGTTCATCAGCACGTACACGTACAACCACTGTGTAGCATTTTACATTTTTTTTTTTTTAGCCAGCTTAACACTTTTAATGGTGCACAGCCTTTAAACTTTCCACCAACCAGCCTCCTCTAGATGCATCTGTTTTCACCGATAATTCGTTGCAGATACTGTCCGCACCAACGCTCATACTTCCCCATAACGTCTTATAACCGCCCAATAAAGTTTAAAAAAATTATTTTCCGTTTTCCCAAATTTTTAAGCTATTGAAGCACTTGCTCAGAACTGCAATAGATAGTTTATTAAGCCTCAATTTAGTGACTCTGTATTTACAATCTAAAATAACAATGCTATAACAAAAGAAAATTTCGGAAGAGTAAATTTCTGTTTAACGAGCTTACTGGTACATCCCCTATTCGATCGTGTGCTTTGCTTGTGCAAAAGCTCAAAAAATCCGTAAGTCAACGCTCGTGTTTGCTTGTAAATTATAATAGAGTTTTTTTTTTAATTTCATTTCACAGCTTTTGACGTCAAGAGGAAACGGGAGAAAGGGGGGAAATTAATATGCAGAACGACGTAACCAGAGAAACGTAATTACGTTTTGCTGGCGACTTAATCAAAAGCACATAACCCCGATATGGAAGTGGTGGATTTAATTTCACGTCAATTGTGCGTGTGTCGTTTCTCTTTTCGAGAGGAAAGCTTTTACGTGAAACTTAATTTCCCTTCGTATAAATGAGCTTATGTACATTTCACTGTCTCTCCCTCTCGTTCTATCCTTCCTCGTACGTATTCGTTTTGTTTCCCTTTTGTTTCGTTCTTTTGTCTAACTCGTAACGAGACTTGTAAGCATGATTCGGCATAAAGGCACCTGCAAAACACAGTTATGCTCTACACAATGCGCTTTGGCTATCGCATGAATTATAAAAAGGCTCCCTCCACATCTCTCTTGTTATTCAATTTTTTTTTGTGCCGTAAATCAAATCATTGTCTGTCATTATCGATCAATCTTGTTCTGTCAGTTATTTTTAATATTGACACGAATGCACTTAACCGTTTTTTAACTTTTTTTTTAATCAAACATTTGCTTCCATGTCTGCAAAATGTTGTATTACTCAACATATCCTACTTAATTACTGAGTAAATTTTAATGAATGCATTTCTCTTTTTTCAGGTAAGCTCGTTATCCCTCTACTGCTTCTACGTTACGTGAGTACTGTAAAAAAAAAAAATTCAGTTTATTTTAAATATTTAATAATTTTATCTTGGAAGCACAATGTTGCCTTTCATTATTTTCGATAAATTATGAAAGTCTATATACGTACTTTAATTATCTTACAAAAAGCAAAGAGCCTTTGACGATTCTATCCCATTAGTTAAAAAATGTAATGGCACGCCGTACCGAAAATAATAATTATTATTAAATAACTTTGCTAATTAAACACCATTAAAGCTTTCTCGTTCATGAAGCGCACTTACAATACTCGACGTTCCTATCCAACATCATTTCGCTTTATTACTTTGAAAATTAACGAGGCTTCGTCTACTCATTACCAAAGTATTAAGATCATGAGAAATTTCATTTTGTTAATTTGAAATGGCATATTATGTGCAAGTCTACGTTCAAAAAAAATTAATCCTCTTAATTTGTGGTATCATTTACCTTGAATAATTTGGGACTAATCCCAAAAAAAATAAAAAACGTTCATTGGTTTCATTAAAAGTTAAAAAATACGTCATGGCATCATCTTTATGTTATGCGAAACAATCCAAGGGTAAGTAAGGAGCTCACTTTATTATTGGTTAATACTACAGTGACGGCAACGTCTTCAATACTATACTATTTATGAAACGAAACTGCGCTATTAATACTATCAAACAAAATTTAATGCCACGAGTCTCTAAGGAAGGAAGGAAGGGGGGAGGGTAGATGCGAATTTCGAAACTGCAGGAAAGACGAGGAGAGGAGGAATATTGGGATGTAATTACGGGCTGTTATCGTCGAATATTCGCCGCTAGTCGTCGTCAAGTGGGCTTGAATAAAATGAGCCAGTCGTTGTATAAACTTTATATTCTCGGCATCATCAATGTCCGTGAATACTCCTCGCCCCCTATTAGTCACGTTTTTTCTTTTACCGTACGTAGATTGATACCGTCACTGATTTATTTTCCAACGTCTGTCGTAGAGATGATGAAAATCTAATTTATATCACGTTCGATAAGTCAGTTCTCCTGACACATTTTTTTTAACACACTTCCCATCGATATTCAATCACTGTATCATTCAATTGATTTTCACCTGTGCCATAAAGTCTCACCAAGAGCTTGAATTTTACCTTTCAGTGACACGTTTATTTTAGAATTAAGTGCGCGAGTGCCAGATTTCTAACTTTATTCCACGAAATAATGTAGCATTTGTTAAGCTTCTGATTCTTGGCATACTTTGATGTAACTTTTAGAATAATTCACTGTAAAAGAAGATAAATGTGATTCATGTGCACAATGAAATTGATATTTTGCAAGAGTGGAATGCTCGCTAAATTACTTTACAGAGATATTCGATGATTATACTGACTCTATTAAATTAATTTGAAAACAGCTCAAGTCTATGGGATATTTTTATCATCCAGTAATGCGAAGGCATTATTTTTATTAAATTCCATTCCAAGACCAAAATGCTTTATGATATATCGTTAAAATTAATCAAAGTATGTGATTTCAGTTATGATTATTTTGAATATTTAAAATAAATAATTTAAATTTAGCAGTCAACAATTAAGAATTGACAAATTATTATTTTTTGAATTTATTTTTATTATTTAGCATGCAGCTACTAACTATAAAACTTTTTTCTAAATTTATAATTACAAATTTTATCCAGTAACCAATAAATTTAATGACAAACAAGTTATTTCTACATGTATGTTAATTTAGAAGCGTATGGAACATTTTCAGGCCAATTGATTTTCAACATAATGAATATATTGCTTTGTCAGATCGAGATTAATCAGAGAAAAGTTATTTTGTATAATAACTCTCGTTATATAGACTTACAAAAAAAATAATCAATAGCTCTGGTGGCTTACTGACAAAAATAATGAGTCAAGTTCAACGTGAATTTTCACTTCGCAGATTAGCAACAGAACTTCTGTGACTTTCTCCTTCAGCTTTCCCTCTCGACCTCGACATTATATATTGTATTGGTCTCTTTTACTCTTTTGATGATTTTATCTACATATTCTTTACGTGAAAAATTCGAGGAAATATTTTTTATTTCCGATAATATTCAGAGATTGTATTTCTGCGAAAACGAAAATTTTTTCCATTCAACTTATCATTTAATAATGGCTTTTCCTAGAGCTGTACAAAGGTTTTGTGCTTCTAATTTCATTAAAACCCTATTTCACAGAATTCAATTTATTTTTGAAGCTCTTACAGTATTGAAAGATTAAATAACATTTTTCAATCTTTTAAAAAGCATTGGACTGTAGCTATTGCTGCTCATCGATTTCTTTTCAATAACCGATGTAAAATACGGTGCAGAAAAAAGAATCGAAATTCAATGAATTTCATCAGAATATAAAAATCGCATTTATCCGAGATACGAATTTATCTTTTTTTGGTATAAAAAAAAAAAATTTTATCGTGTTATGTAAAGTATTAAATATAAAATCTTGTTTATTGAAGTTGATGAAAAAAAAAAAAAAAAAGTTTTCAAAAATGTTTAAGAAATCTCTTCCAAGACCCAATAGAGAGATACATGCCCGAGAAGACTGAGAAAGAAAAAAAAGAAAACGTGCAGGCTCACGTTCCAGGATGTAACGGAATCGAAATAAAATCTTGGTCACGACGAGTCTACATAAAGAAAAAAAAAGAGAGCGAGACAAAAGAGACGGAGAAAATGTAACGAAAAACACACAGTGACAGATAAACAGACGAGGGCTGAATAAAGCAAAAATGAAAATAAAGGTTTTTGTTATTTTATTCGTTACTTTTTTTTCCAAAGCGCGAGTTTGCTTATATATTTACGTTGTACAATGCGCTCTCGGACATTTACATTGCATAATTAACGAGTGTCCGAAAGAGAGGGGTCCTTGTTTTCATACATGATTTTTCGCGAGTTCGCAGATTTTTTCTCGTTCATATTTTGTTTCGTTCAATATTCAGTTTTAAATTGAATTGATAATTTAGTTTGCACAGTTTATCTTTTCTGTTGTATATATTTGTACGTCTGAAAGATGAACATTTTTAATGAAAACAGCCGTATCGATTTTTTCGTTAATTTTAATTGCAATTCCCAATTAAATTAAATTCAAACATTTTTCCATTTCGACGTCATATTGCTTTATTATGATAGACTCAGTAATTTAATGTTATGACAGCGACCTACATACGCAATAATTGTATTAAAAACACAGTGTGTTGTAATTCAACGATTCCTAATGAGATTATTCATGTTGAGTCTCATGATTGCATTCCTTTATTGAATTTTCAGCAAATTATTATGCAGCACAACAACGTCAGAAATTTTGTCATGAAATTTGATGAATAATTACTTGCAACATTGTTTAATAATTCAGTAACAAAAAATAATTTAAGGTTTAGTATTTGGTCCGAAATAATTAAATAATTATGAAAACAATTCAATGTAAAATATCAAAGAGAAATCATGGTTTCGTAATGTATTTACAGGATTGGGTTTCTTGCTCGCGGTACAAAAAATACAAAAACGAAAAGCCTATCATATAACACAAAACTAACAGACAAGGAAACATTTTAATCATTAGCTATGAGGAAATAAAATGAAGTTGAGCATATAGTTATTAAAATCAGTCGATGATATGTCGAGATACGGCTAGACGTACACTTTTTTGCTGAATATGACATATTTTTATCCATAATTTTCGGTAACTTGTTTTTCGACTATATTTCTTAATAAACACTTATTTTGAAGGAATGCATGAAGTACTTTCTTCAAGGAGGCAAAAACTACATCGCTGTTGATAAAAAAAATACATTTTATCTATTTCCTTTTTTCAAAAATGATCATATAATACCATAAAATCGATCGAAGATTTAAATTAAGTATTTCATTACTCGATACCTTGACAAAATGCCAAACCCTTGATGCTCCACTCATACATTTTCCTTTTTCATTCTCTATCTGCTTCATTCCTCGCTTGACGAACGATATAACCCCTTTTTCTACCTAGACCTATTAACGGGGACCAGAAGCGAAATTTTCCGCTTTCGAAACTTTTGGCCCAACCAATACTCACGGAAAACACTGCATTTTCTTGTACTCCTTCCACGCCATTGCAGAAAAAAAAAAAGCCGAGTGCTTCCACACAATGGGAGTTTTCACGCGCCAGCCAAACGAGTTTATTCCAAGTTGCCGCGTTCCTTTTCCACGCGCCCCTCTCTTCTAAGCGCCGACTAAATCTCTTCCATAGTTTCTTCGGCATCTGTCTGTTTGTGCACCTTATACATAAACTTTTATGCGGATGCGCGCAAATAAAAACTCTTGACTCCCTGTACCTACACCTCCCATGAAGTTATACTCGCCTCGTGCTCTCTCAGGTACCAACACACTTACGCGTATACAGAAATGACACTCCAAATAAAAAAGCGCGTCGACGCACCATGTTCGTAGGTTTCCTCGTTTTTCCGTGTTGCAGCGCCGAGTTTAGTAGTATTGGTGTAATGTTACTGCAACGAATAGAACGACCCACGTGATACCTATGTGAAAGTTTAGCCCCCAAAACTGTTGGATTGATGGGTAGGTATATTTGTACAATTTTGTTCAAGTCTTGCACTGAGCAACCCAATTCTTTGAATCAAAGAAAATTTCTTTACCCTCATTCCGTTAAATATTTTCTTATGAGAAAAATATAAGTTAATTAAAAATAACATTTTATTAAATACAAATTTTCTTTTTTTAATTACGAATTTCTCATTTAGATGTACGAAATGCTTTTTTAGATCGACTAAATTTGTTTCAATTAAAAGAAAATATTTTTTCAGAATGAGGATAAAGAAATTTTCTTTGATTTAAAGAATTGGGTTGCTCAGTGATGCTGAAGGGAACAAAAATTAAAGTGCACCAAAGTTTCTGGGGAAAACTGTGGTACAGTACAAAGCGGGAGAAGACAGGGGGCGGAAGGGTATATGACACGCGGTCGATATCCCAAAGAAACAGGATTGGATCT